AACTTATTTGCCACCTGATGCATCAATACATATATGCAGAAGGTATCGTCAGTGTCTTAAATTTTACCTGTAATTTGACATGACATGAAAATGCTTGCATGACATCATTAGCTGGTCGATCTGTGCATTTAGTCTTACAAATAACCTCAATATTCAGGGTTTTATAAAAGAGATATCCTTATTTACGCTGCAAGAGACGGTCTTCATCATTTCAGAAAAAAATAAACAGAACCATTACACTTTTATAATATTTCTTTCAGAGGGTCTTCAATAGGATTCTATCACCAGAGTAAGACTTTTCTTTCACCAAAAATACGAAACTCAGACACAAATAATGTTCTTTGTCAAAAATCCAGCAAAAGTTTCAGATATATGGTCATCTTTTATCAAAAAATGTGAATCTGCAGGACAATGATACCATAACTGATTAACTAGAACTTACACACTATAAATACTTGCCTTCTTGTTATTTTGTTTTGTGTTTTGTTATCTGGCGTTTTTTTATTCAAGGTTATGTATACAATGAAATCCAGTTATCAATGTTGAGTTTAATATTTTTGATTTGATTTTCAAATGTTTTGTTTTATTGCATAACTTATTGAATATGAGGGTCTAGGTCACTACCCAATTTTCGGACACACAAAATTAGGACGAAACAGCAGTGATGTATAGGTTAATTCATTATTTGGCTCCATTGTATCTAATCGTTAATTTGTATTGAAAGGTGGTCTTTACTTGTGGGTATTTTGTAGACCTAGAAAGACAAAACATTTGTATGATGCAGGTTAATTCATTATTTGACTCTATTATATCTAATTCAATATTTGCATGAAAACGTGTTATTCACTTGTGGGTCTTCTGTAAAATTTTAGTTTAATGAAACCCTCCTGCAATCAACCTATGTTAAACATTAAAATTTAACTTGGAATAGAAATATTAAGATATACTGAGCAACAAGTCTACACCATTTTATGCCGTTTTATGTAATCCATAGAATATAAATTCAAGATAAATGTAATGCCTACGTATATCAGATGGCTTGTATTAAATTGTATTAAAGGAAAACTGAAATGAAAAATAATCTTCACATATTAGCGTCACTTTGTACATCAGAGGTGTTTCAAGACTAAGGTCTACTTTTCCTCGATGGAGATGTCATGTGGATTTCTATCTAGGACGGTGACAACTCTTTTCTATTCATACGAAACACTTGATGAACGTAGCTTTATCTATCTCCACTGCTGTGCAATACAGTCAATGCTTCTGTCGTGGCCTCAGTTTCGTAAATTTCACACCTGAAGGGAAATGACTCATGGATTTAGTTTAAAGAAATACATATGTTTAGAATGATGTTATTTACCGAAAAACAGATCCCTACAGAGGCTTCTGCTCCCCCACTAAGCCACAAGATCGCTTTTTAATTTGTAGCTGATGAAAATAAATATACAATATTGCAACTTGAAGAGGCGGGATTCGTCACATGGCTTTATAGGTTGCTTTCAATTTCTCATTTTGACACTTTAAAGTGCAAGTGTTGCATAGGTTTAAGTCAACCGTGTGTCATTCACTTTCAACATGTCCTTGCTGTTTTGATCTTGTAGTGATGTGTCTGACGTTTGAAGTGTTTCTCCCTGTCGTCTCATTGACGACTAACGTAGACATGGACATCTTAATGTCAAGACAAGACCTCATTTACATCTACAGATGACAAACAAGCGTCATTACATAGTAATGTCAAATTTATTCAACATAGTAAACAACACACTAAGAAGTTATTATGTTGTTCAAATGCCAACGGTTGTAATTTGTTGATAAATAATATTTTTATATTATATATAATTAATTTATGCAGATTCGGTTCTTGTTACTCTTATTTCATATTATCTGCATGCCAGCTGCTCTGCTCTGCTCTCATATAAGCGTCTTTGAACACGTAAATCCATTTCCAAAATAGCTGATGTCCAAATGAACTCCAGCACTGAATAATGAAACAGGCAACGGTAAGGTTTTAAAATTTGTGGAGAAGCAGTTGTAATTTTGCAATTTTTCGCTAACGATTTCTACTCTATAAATGAAGACATTTAAAAATGCTCTCGTTTTCTATCCATACCAGCCTTGTTGTTTTCCAACAGGTAGAAGATACATTCTAATTTGTGTCATCTCAATGCCACATACATAGTTTCAATGTTATTTTCCCTCTTTCATGACACATGACACTATGCATGGTATTTTGTAGATGTTTAACTGTTGATATTACCTCTGTAGGTTTTTGTACATTAATATATCTACACACCACCTGCCCGGAGATCTCAAGTTCATAGATTCAGTCCTATGACGGTCCAGACACAATTGTGACTCTGGAGGAGAATATAACCATCAACAATAGTTATCTGTCAAACGGATTTTGCCACGAAAATTGAAATCAACTTATTCTCAAAGGAAAGAATTTTCTATATCTGGATTGAAATTTACTAATTTGTCTTTTGTTTTTAGCAAACTAGCTATATATATATATATAGTCAGGATGGAATCCCTTCTCCAGCAGATACACATGTTGCTTTTCTTGATGTTAATCGAGGATATACCATATGTCCAAGAGCCAAGATTCTCTTATATTTATACCAGGACCTTATTTCATATCCATACATTTTTAGGAATGGTAGCCATGTCTCTTATATACTTGAGTTATATGCTTGATAATCTGCACTATGATCTGCTGTCATATCTTCTGTAAACACTAATCTACATTGTTTCAATAAGTTATTTTGCAACGTTCCATGGCCAAGGCGGATCTATCATCACTTTTTATGGCAGAAAATTCGACCATGTGTCCAAATTAGCGAAATTTGAGATTTAATAGTATTGCTCATCCTCCTTATCCAGACCATTGTGTAGAAATAGACAATGATAAATTTCAGGTTTTTAATTTAAAGAACATGGCTTTAGTTTCTATAGTGATTCATTTATATGCATATACAAAGAATACCAAAGACAAGATTAAGTATATATCATGGTTTAATTTACGTAATTAACCTTATGAACATCACATAACAAGTCTATGTAGACATGAATAAACATTTCAACATCATTAAAATGATCATGTAAGGTGTATGTATATATAGTTATTGTATGGTATACACATACACAATGATAACACATTGTTTAAATTGATACATTTCGGAGATAAATATTTGTATGGGCGATATATTATTATAAATGTAAGAAAACATACTCTTCTCTTGAGCAGAGTAAGATTTAAACACATTTATTTGTCTCCGCAGTTATATTATGATTCAATAAAATGTTTGATAACTTGAATGTTTTTGTCATTACTTTATTTAGTTATGGACATTGCGACATTTTTAAAATATCTTTTTAAACACTTTTTTTAACGATGCTAAATGGCATAATTATTGGTGATTATTTCCCAAAGTTTGTACGAATGTATGAACATATATTCTTTGAGAATCGAAGGAAGAGATGTCTGCAGTTGTTCACTGAATATAATTTTAAGCAATTTTGTAGAAATGGTAACTTGAGGTCATATGAAATACATATTTCTTAAAATGTAGATGAAATGATTCTGAATCATGAAATGTAACCGTTATGATTTGACGATTATACGAAATAGCTTATAATGTGTGAATTGAGAGATAAAAACAGTAGTAAAAATTATTATGTTAGAAAATATTGACATGATAACAGATTTTACACAGAAAAATGTATGTAGTTAGTCCAAAGAATGATAACTTATTAGGAAGACTGTGATTTATGGGCGGGGCGTTTATATCAAACGTTTTAAATATTTTATGATCAATGCAATATTATTTTACCAAGAAACTTCAACACTACAATGTAATGTTTAAATGTTAATATAATGTTTAATGAATAATTTCCCTGCAGTAGCATTCTTTAACAATCAATAAAAAGAATAAACAGACAGAAATGCAATCCAGCTTGATGATGTGCAAACAAATCATATAACCTTTACGTATACGGATACTAGGTCGACACGGTCATTGATAAGAGATAATCACATTCTGGCCGTCAAACTGAAATGCACTTTTGTGTTTGTCTTTGCATTGTTGCGTAAGTAATATCATCGGTTGTTTTTATAAAGAACATAACTTTTCGTTTTTCATATTTTGAAAATTCTTACGAAAACTGTTCATATCAACGTGACAAATATGAAACTTTAGTGAAAGATGAACACTGTATCATACGACCAATTTTATATAGGTAACTTACAAATAAAACAAACCCTCATATATCCGGCTATACCTTGTCATCTACAATGCAAAGGTGTGCTATCAAATGCTTCTTATCAGAAGTAGTTTTTTAATTCTTAAATAAAAGACTAAACCAGCCACGCCATCAGTGTGTTTCAAAATAAAATACAATGATAACTTAACCATTTGTCATCCATCTAATTTGAGACCAGCTCCATACAAGTACACAAAATAAATAATCTAATAGTTTAAATCCATAACATGTCTATTCTTTAAAAAAAAAGTTAAACTACTCGAATATCCGAAAGCGGATAATGTCAGCTAGCTGTCTACAAAGTGAGGGTTTGTTTTAAGTGTTCAGTAACTTTAGTACGTATTGATAAATATCCGGAGATATTCAAATACGTTATTAAATACTATCAAGGACTAGATAGGTACAGATTCTTTTTTTTTCACCAGTAAAAGTTCCTGCTGGTATTGTGAGGACTGTCCAGTTCATCAATAGCACTTAAAAAGATTACATTATTACGGTACAATTATCTCCGATGCATGTTAGGCACAAGTCGGTATATAGCTGTCCGAAATATTTGGCACATAGGAGTATATCAAGAATAATAGACGTATCACTTAGAATATCACAGGCCCACACATCAGGGGTCAGTCACCACCAGTATACGTCATTACGAAAATGACGTCATAATGTCTTACGTTAAAACATCACTGCATCCCAATACGACGTCACATTACATCACAAAATACATCGCCATTAAATCATTTTTTCAATGTTTTCTTTGTCGAATCTATTTTCTTTGTGTCTGTAGGTTTCTTGGGACTGGTTACTTTTGCCTTATTAACTATTCTTTTCATGAAAGATGATTTTTCTCCAGCGTCGTTGCTCTGTTCATCGACAGTTGCTAGTTTCTTTGGGGTCAAGCCAGTTGAATCAGGTTTCACTTTGTTTCCACCTAATCTACCCATAAAAGATTTGGATTTATTGTCCGATGTTTGGGCTGCAGCCTCTTTGGAACTTAAAGGATACTCTTTATGAGTAAGTCTACCGGCAGCTGCCTTAGCTGCAGGTAAGCGCATGCTGTTGTGTCGCTTCAAAGGAGATGGATCGAGTGATGAATTTGACGGGGGTGCTGGGGCCCTGGTCTTGGGTTTCGCTTCTACCGGTTTTGTGGTTCTGCTGGTTGAAGGGGTAGCGGCTGACGTTGTTCGCGGGGGCGGGGTGGGAGGCACGGGAGATGTAGCTCCTTCATCACGCAATTTAGAGACTGACGATGCTGTTGGAGACATGAATGACCGACGTGAAGTTGTGCTTTTCTCTTTCGATTTTTCTGAATTTGTTCCAATCGATGATAAGCGCTTCTTCTCTGCCGAAACTCCTACACTCGGTTTAGGAGTTGTAGATGTGACTCGTAGTGATTGAGTCCTTGATAATCCTTTAGAACCGGTGGGGGTATGAGAAGGCGTCGTCGGGCGGTCGAGAGGTGTGACAGGTCGTGAGGCAGAATGCGGCGTTGCTGACCGAGAAGAGGATGAGGGTGGATGAGGTGTCGTTGAACGAGACAATGGTGTACTGGCACGGGTGCTTGTACTAGACGATTTCCTAGTAGGCGTGGATTTGGATGTGGATGGCGATTGAATGTCAGACACACCACTTACTGAAGACACGATGCTTGTATTTGATTCTGTAGTTTTAGATTTGTTCAGGTTTGTTCTCGAATTTCTAACTGACGACTTCTGGGCAGACTTTGTTGAGAGACTTGCTGGGGTACTTCTCCGTTTGTTATCTGTTACAGATGAAGATGCCATTCTCTGAGATTTTGTTCCACTTGAAGCAGTGCTTTTCATATAACTCGGAACACGTTTTTGCTTTCCGGAAATATCAGAATTTTCTGGTACCGCTATCGGTGCACCTTTGGGGTTTGTTGTTATTGGGCTCGCTGGTGAACCTTCACGCAGTGAGGCAACTAGATCCAGATTTGAACTCCAAACATCTTCTTTTGATGTACCGTGACCGCTATCCGGAGAAGTTGCTGAGTATTCAATGGAGGAGTCCAAGGACGAATCCTTCAGGTTTGTAGCAGCGACAGCCTCAGTCCAGGATTCCGTTCGCTGTTTTCGTGCTGCTAATTCGGATTGTTTTTGTGCACGCGCCACAGTTATTTCCTGTTTCGGTGGGATCAGACTATCCGGTTCAATTATTTTATCGCTAATTAACACCTTTGAAGATGGTTCTGGTTTGCGACCGAAATTGGGCATCAATTCTGATTCCAACGTGCTGCTCATCGATGTTCTTTGAGAAACTGTGCCTGACATTGTCTCGAAACCTTCATCACGAGCGCTGTCACTGCTGCTGGCGTAACTACACCTTGATCCAATATCGTTACGGAAAGAGTCACCACTTCCTTCAGACTTATGATTTATTGTCAAACCGTTGTGAGTTCGTGCGGAATGAGACTCGTGGTTGGCTCGAGGAGAACCCGGTGCTTCGTCAGTCACATTGTCGTAATGACTCTGTCTTCTCGATGTGTTGCGTCTCTCTTTCCATCTTGAAAGAAGAGTGTGTGGTAACTGATCACTATCCTCCAACTCAGAATTGCTCGCAACTACATTGTCAATTTCGTTTCTTTCTATCATGCTAGCCGGCCGTCGACGAGGCGGAGCAATTGGCTCTGATGAGTTTAAGTCACTATTTACAGATGAGCGTTTTGAGGAAGCTAACTGATCAGTGCTAGAACTTTCAGCATCACTATATGGTGTATCACAACGTAATGTCTCTGTGGAAGTACTGGTAGACTTGATCGAAAGCCGACTAGAACTCTTCGGACTGTCACTTTTGTAGCTTAATGCTCGTTTGGGTGACGACGTGCCGTCTGGCGGTACTTCGCTGTCACTGTCACTAGTGTGAATATAAAGACAATTCCTCCGGGAATCACCAGAACTTAGACGTCCAACACTTCCTCGCAGTGATGATCTCCGTTCAGATTCATTGTAGTCAGACTCTTTTCCGTCAGCAAGAGAAAATTCTCCATTTTCAGTTGCTGCTTTTCTCGCAACAGATTCATCGTACGACTTAGATCTACTCATACCGCTCTTAGCCTCTTTTAAAGCCTGATCAACCTCGTCACGCTGCACGTCACTTTTCCATCTGCCATTGCTATTTTTAGACTGACCTTTATCTTTGTCACCGAAACGTTTAAGTCTAAATCGCATTGCTGCAGCAAGTTTAGCCGCTTTCTTTACCGTGCTTGAATCTTTATCCTTCTGTGATTTGTTATCTTTATCGGGTGACTTACTGTCGCTTTCACTACCAGAACGCGATCGTCCTTTTGGAGTACCCGGTGATTTTGGAACTGGATGCATAGTTGCAGTCACAGTGGTAGTTATGTTGTCATCTGTAGCTGATTGAGGTTTTTCTTCAGCTTTGAATGATTGCATTGCAGTGTGGACATCTTCCATTGACAGATGAGACCGGAGTTTCCTCTTGGTTCTACGCTGTTTTAATGCTTCCGATTCACCTGACTGATTAGGTTTACTATCGGGTTCAATTTGCTCACTTTCAATCGGCTCTTTTCGTTTCTCATTATCCTCTATTTGTTTAAGAACTTGGTCAATGTCCGTTTTCCCAAGATCACTTTTCCAGCGTCGGCCAATCTTTTTCTTTAAAGAAATGGAGACATGGGGCTCCTCGCCATTGTTATTTTCCTCTTTATGTTTAGCATTTTCAAGAATGTCTTTTATTTGAGATGGATCAATGTCTTTTTCACTAATTCTTCGGTACATTCTATCACGACTTTGCTCTAGGGAATTCGTAACTGTTCTGTCATTTGTGTCTGGCGATACTTTTGTTTCAGGTATTTCTAACCTTCCTTTTTCATCGATGGTCTGAAGACCTCGAGGTGTCGTATCAATACCACTTCTCCAACGAGGAGATGCTTTTGCGTCAGCTGTGTCAGTATCTGTTGCTGAAGGTTTATCTCCCACAGGTGTAATGGGACGAGTGGACGTTGGGTCTGGTGATTTAGTATCACGTCGACCAGCTAATCGCCGTTTTAATCTATCGGCTACAGAGTTTTCACTAATCTCTTTAGATTCGTGATCAGCAATCGCCTTTTCTACAGATGACTTTTCCACCATACTTTGGACCCGTCGGACGGGTCTTTTAGGAGTGTCATCCTCAATTTCATTGGATTTTGGTCTGATATTACCAACCGACGTTGGTGTTCTTGATCTCCGCGGGACACTATCCTCTTGCTTTAATGTGTCGACTGATGGCGACTGCGCTCGTTCACGATCACCAAAAACATCGAGAGTTTTGTTCTGTTGGCGCTCATTTCTTTTTCTACGTAAACTGCCGTAGCGCTCGAATTTGGATTCCGAGGGTTTAGTTTCAGCAGTCATGAGGATATCGAAAAGGTTGTCATCCGTTCCTTTCATTATTTTATTGGAATTGATGTCATTTCCGTCGTCAAGACTACTGCATGTACTTTCAGAATCTGCACTGTCGTCAGGGGCAGGATTGACAGTCTTCTTTCGAATACTCCTTCGACCGTATCCACCCCTTTGGAAATTGTCCTTGTTCTTTTTGGACTCTGAATCATCATGGCCGTTGTTATTGGTACCATTCAAGTTGATTTTCTGCACTTTTTTCACAGAGAAGTTATTGTCCCCTAGTCTACGACCGGTGAATCCTCGTCGAACATCTGCTAATAACATATCTACAATGGAACCCTCTTGTTGGTCGCCTTCGCCTCTCTCCATGACCATCTCATCCGGCGACTTCATGTCTTCCGCTGTATTAAAAAGAAACCAACTATCACATTTCCGAACGATTCCAGATATCTCTTTGCATTAAGTTAGATTGTACCATATTTCATAAAAAAAATTTTCGTATCAAAATACATATCAAATATATCTCAAACTTAATATGGCAAAATATTTGACCACCTGAATACCTGAACATCGTATTACTATATGTAGGTGATGACCAACAGCTCGAAATTTCAGAAGTTACTTAATGAAAGAAATAAATCGGAAGAAAAACTATATTTTAAGGTTAATGTTTCTATTATTTACCTGTTGTTTCTTTCTTCACGTTCTCTTTCATTTGCTGGTTTCGTTTGGCTTCCACCTTTTTCTCTTGTTTCTTTCGTTGTTCATTTTCCTGTAAAAATAAATCGTATTTGTTGACTGTTTCTTTAGAGCTGCACATACAATTTTCTTTCCTTTAACCGCTCTTAAAACATTATTGATTAAAAATTGTAATGATTTAGTTTTTTTTTATCTTTCATACAATATAACATTGTGTAATGTTCCAATTATTTCACAAATGTGTTTTATGTAACCACAATTGTTCTTACCATTATCGATTTTTTGAATCGTTCACTGAACGTGTGAAGCACTTTGAAGCATTCGTCTAATCGGAACGAATTTCTATCTTCACAGAAGAAATCAGCTATTTCCAGACGAAGACTTTCCATATCTTTCAAATCAGCTTGTAATTCTCTTATATCTTTTTCAGCGTCCTGCAATCGATAAATTAATTCATTAACACTCAATATACTTTTTGATTCTGTATATGGAACAAGAATTTAAAATCGTTTGTATTATAACAATATCAAAAAATCATTACAAATAAATGTTGATTAAAACAAAATTCCAATGACCTTGCCTTTTAAGATTTATTTCAAAGACTCAAATAGGTAAATTAATTATCTATACAGTATATGCCGGATAATTAAGAAAACTGAGACTGATATTACTTATTCTACGAAACTTTAGAGCATGAGGTCCAAAACGAATGTTTGCAAAATCAATATTAATCTATTAATCTCAACAATTGTGAAAATGTTTGATATCAGATGCAACATTAATTTCATTCATTAGAATATATATGTAAATTGCGGGTTTTCATAGTCAACCCCAAAACCGGTAAGTATATACCTACCAAAGCTTTATAATCAGTGACCTAGAGGAATTGTGTGGGAATGATATGGCTGTTGTTCAGAAATACCTACCGCTAGAAATCCCGCCATTTGTGCCTTGAAATCAGCACCCACTGTTTCAAGTTCCTTAGAAATGACATTTACCCTCGCGGCAAGGTTACTAATGTCAGATCCTAAGCTTTCTAGTGGTGCCCTAGAGAACAGAATTACGATATGAATAATCATCCAATAATACACATTCAAATATTGCTAGACATTATCAGCATATAACAAGTCGTAAACCGTAACAAAAGATATCCATAGATATTTATATATGAATTATGCATCGCTGATTATACGAAATTCATATCTTAAATTAGTCTTATATATGCCTTCAAACTAATTTACACTGCTTAAACTTACTGTGTGGCATCTTTAAGATACTTCAATTTTTCCGGGAAGGCAAGGAGTTCGGGATTCTTATCTTCGGCTTGCTGTTAAGGATATGAAAAAACACAGTTTTTTAAACCGAGTTCATTACGAACTAGTGAATAGTGATGTCATTTGCTAATTCAATATAACGCAGTTCAAAGAAAGTGCTATCTTTATATAAGATTATCCATCTTAAGCCATAAAATGTTTAAGCCAAGTTCCCTAAATCTGTATCGATTGTAATAATATCAGTTTTGCACCGTTATTATAATATCTTATTTGGCAAAACATATTTATAAAAATCCTTCCCCATAATTTTGACGTGAAATAGAGGTTGATATCGGTAGAACCCTACATCAAATATTTCAATGGCTATCGTTCAAGGACTAACATGTCTTGGCCACAAAAGTGACCATAACAAAGGCCATTTTATTGGTCACGCCTCCTTCTGACCTCGTAACAGTTTAAAAAAAAACTGCTGAATAATTGTAGGTTCAATCGGTTACGCGTATTAAACAGGTTACAGTTGATAATCTTACAAAAATTTAACTTGCTGATCGAGTAAATCCTTAATTTACATTGGTTTAAAATGAATTATTTGTATTGTAATTGTATTTTGTACATAATATTCGAAAACAAAAGAGACGTCAAATTAGACATATACAAATGCTCACCATTATGACGAAATGAAGAAGATTCATTCTAGGTTTGTTAGCTCTTGTTTCTGTCAGTTTTATAAGAGAAGAAAGCTTAAAACCAGCGGCGTCACCAGCATAGTTTCCCTGAAACAACAAATCAGATATAAAACGGTGTATCGCTTTTTAACACCAAATCAGTTTACAACCATATCGAATGTGATTGTACGGTGATAGTAAGTTCTTATTTCCACCCTCCCCTTTCCACCATCACTTAATCAGGCATTATAAAACTACTTGTAGCATAGGATAGGTACACATGTCTATCGGTATACTCTTCATATGATGAAAGTATACACAATCACACAGTTCCGCTATTCTCAATAGCTATATATATATCTCTTGCATGACATTAACAGAATATCAACTTGTAAGCATTACTTTTCATTGTGTTAATCACAGCGTTTAAATAATTAGAAAATGGCCTGTTAGTAGGGCGTAATTAGCCCTTTAATAGTATACGCTGAATGATACTTTCCGCTATAACGATTCCACGCAAAAATAAACTTCAAAAAGATCTATGTGAATATCATTGCACATGTTAATAATCATAATCTGTCCATTTATAAATGAAAAAAAAAGAAACTTATCCCGGCGAGAACACACTTCAATGACTTACCCCATTCAAGTAATTTCCTGCTATTAGCACCAAGTAGAACAGCTCTTGCAGATCATCGTTTGACTTTATTTCTGTAAGAAAAGATATAGAAATGACTTAAAGTAATAGACCAAGGCATGTTTTATCCGTTGACAGGTAGCTCACAGTCTAAAAAGACAAAGGAAACACAGGAAGTATCATTTAACTCCATTACTTTCTAGTCTATTTGGTTTTAAACTATACCCCACATTGACACCTGGATATCTAATAACATTATATGTAAGAGCATACGCTGGTCTTTATGACACTGACAGAAACTTAGGATGAGGTCATGAAATTAAACATGTATGTACCCAATATATTCATCTTAGGATTCTTCATTGAGACTCTCTTCTGCATCAAATAGATCTCTTTTCACACGACACCAATTTATATGTTTGATTACAGAGGGTGCTTTTTCAATACCAGTGTTAGTAATTTTGCTTTTTCCTAGTATACCTATGACACTTGTTTAATTATAAACGTTTGTATCCTACTTGATCAATTAGGTTCAAGTCACCATATCATTTAGAGTATATCGAATAACAGGCTTATTTAATTGATATTTTGGGATTGGTCAAAAACGATAGATCACTCAGTGTAATAATACACCCACGGAAACATCCACGCTGTTATTATTATTACTTTGTATCCATAAATATAATGAAATATGTTTTACAGGTGAAAGTGAAATAAATCATTCATCATGATAGTTGTTACGCTTTTATTTATGAATAATTTTTGTTACAACAATCATGACCTTTTTAATGAAAACATGAAAATTGTACTTCGCAAAAACAGTTACCGAACCATACTTTATATAGATTTTGTTTATTGGTACTTCATTTCAGTAGCCTATCATAGTCGACTCTGACAATATCAGATTTATCAAACAATGAAACGGAATCGATAGGGTTTATCTCCAAAACAAACAATCTGTAAAAATACCCTTTGAGTGTTATGAAAATATTTAACCAATGTTCCTATTTTTAGAGCTATGTACCCGTTTCAAAGAGGGCATGATTTGTAACGGTTAACATTAAAGTAAAACTATTCAGGTCGTTAAACTTACGAATAAAGATTAAATATCGACGACAGAATGGTTTCGCTATAAGTATAAAAACACATTTTTGGTAAAGATATTCCCTACCTCTCTGAAGATCTTACATAAATGTCGATTTGAAACACTGGAATGCAATAAACCTTGCCATATTTATAGAACAATTCAAAACAATGGAATCTCTTTTTTATTTATTCAAGATACAGATACCATATCAAGCCTTAATGCAGTGCCAATTATTAGTATTATTTTTAATATAACTCACCATTGGCGGTTTCAATCACGGCTTCCACATGCGGTTTAATGTAATCCATGTTGGCCTTAAATTCCTCCTTCACCAGCATTCCTTCTATTCTTAGTTTATACCTGAAACAAAGCAAGTAGCTATTACACAGTTGAAAAAAAAAATCTTTTACCATGTTCGAATTCCTGTTAACTTTTTAGGCAGATAATAACATCTCAGGGTTAGACATAATTATAAGCACTATAATGTATTTTTCTTGGACTTTTGATTGAGGAGGAGAGATGAATTACTTACTGTGGAAGCCCAAGGAGACACAAAAAGAACTTTTCAGCACTTCCGAGTCTCTCTTTGTCACCATCGAAATTCTGAAGTCTTTCAATCTGTAACGAAAAGCAATCAAATTGTTAATGCATAATTTCGCTTTGATTTTATTTAATCTGCAAATAACCTTGAACTGTGTAGTTATGTCATATATGTATATTCACATATAAAAATACCCATTTACATTAATTTCATTTTTGTTTTCCTTTAACTACTAACTTACTTCATCTGGATCTGGCAAAATCCTGAGCAAGCCTTTGAGACGCTCTGATTCAAACCTCTCACTGACTCCGTCTCGCAATAGCTGGACAATCTGATCATTTGGCATGCGAAACTGCCTTAGGAAGATGTTCACATTCAAACTTCTTTTGCCATCAAGTAGATTGATCTGTAAGAAATTAGTTAATACATAACATTTGAAGGATTCAATAAAGAGTCGTAATTAATTCAAAGACTCAAAATATGCTGTAAGTGGAATGGAATTAGTATGATGTCAGTGAACTGTGATTCAACGCAGTGATAGGTAAATACATGTACAGCATTCTTGTTTTGGAGTAAATATATACCAAGTATTTTGAAAAAAATGACACTATATACGACATGTGCCTATCACAAGGACAAAAGACCATAATATCGATATCATCCGATACATTTGGATATGTTGGATTTACAGTGCGTCATTTTTGTATGAGGGTGACCAAAGAAAACAACACAGGTGGAGATAAGGCGAGGAAAGATCGCCAAGCAAGTGGCAGTGTCATTCATTCGCATGACAATATAATTAAAAGTCGTTTACCTCACACCATTTATTATATAGGTCAAAGACGCCTTATCTGATATGTACATTTCTAATTTGATTTCCACGACCTGTCCACAATCGACACGTTCAGAGCGACCTCACATATTTCTCTAAGCAATTGACCTTATACTTTAATGTTGTTCATCTGAAAAGACTCGTTTGTTCAGAAATCCCTATCAGATGAAAACCCTTGCCTGAACGATCTTTGATTATATGTTGTTCTCGAGTTAAATTGAAATCAAGTAAGATTCTATCTAAATTTTACGTCAATCTACTCGCATTCTAGTAGTATACTGGAGCGAGGAGGACAGTAAGTTTGACCCAAGGAAGACCCCGCAGGATGGACTATGACATAGCGGCAGGTTGACCGGAACTATACAGATATTCATCGTTGTCTTGATTACTCATCCGTAAATTACAACCTTACTGTACAATTCGATCACTATTGTCAATCCTTAACGGTAACCTCCAACCTATGGCCTGAAAGCTTGTAGTTTGGTTACTGTCACGTTAGAATGTATCAAGGTAATGTCACAATATTACAATTTCGTGTATAAAGAAACTTTTTAAACGAAAGGTTCTGAAATTATACATAAGTATGATGTATATGAAATAGAAATTTGTCTAATCATCGCCTCAGCTGTGTGAATGGCACTTCAGTGAGATTGTGATGTATGAACTGGTTTGTGTTCCTCTTGAAATAGTTTTGTCTCTACGTTTAAATGCAACACCGACTTCAAGACCATGGCTTAATCCCTGGTGTTGCTATCATCACAAACATGTCATTTACAAAGACCAATTATATCAGCACCCAGCATGAAGTTTGCATATTGGCATCTAAATGCTAAGACTGTCATATTCCTCAGTATGTTACCCCAATTTTCTTATCAACAGTTCTCGGAAAACACCTGTACACACATTTTTAAATGTAACAAAGGATCCAAGGTAGGACTAAATGAAATGCTGTAACATTAAGTAACAGAAAAATAAACTCACATATTTTGGTTTTATGTGTATCGTAATTCAGGTAATCGTGTCTAGATATATACACGTATATTCTCCATATCTAAGTGTCATATTAGTGTTTTGTTTAACTGCGATCTTCTGAACATATCTAAACGATTGATTTTGCAGAACAGAAGACGTTTAAATGCTATTGAATAGTATCTGTGCTTGTAACGCTAGCTGACTACACTGAAGACCTCCTGCAGTGCTCAACCCGTCCTATCTAGTCTCTGTACTTTGTAACGTCTTACCTAGGCTTAAGCCAAATCCGTTAAATTTCTTATTGTAATATCGCAGGACGGACACACAAAACATCATTGGTAGATGTTGGGTAGTTATTAAGATAAATTGAACGTTTAACCGATAAGGACATTTGTGTATTTAAGACCTAAAGTTCCAATCAACGAGATCATTTATTTTTTACCGCCAATTCTGTCGACGTTTATGTGCGGCAAACAAGGAGAAGGACCTGTATTATGATATCGAGTCTTTCTATAAGAGGTTTACAATATGGACATTTTATCATTTTATCTGTTGGAACAGGCATTTAGAATATTCTTGATTAAATCTTAAATAAGGAGTAGATCATAGTGTCGCTTCTACGTCAGAACGATAATACGTGCAAATGCACCAACAAAGGAAATACAATCCGGCTATATTCTACCCACGGTTTGACTGGGGTAGGTTATGAAAAAGAACGAATGCATTTTCAGATAATTGTTTTTCCCTTATCATATTTTATACCACTAGGTATGCTTTACACAATCCTGGTTGGGATGTATTTATGATTTATATGGCAATTCAACTTTGCTTCACATGGCTATACCAGAGTTTAAAACAAGTCATTATGAAAATAATATAAACAAAAAAACTCCCTTACATTAGGACTTACATTTCATGGTTGTTTTTCAGTCACCATTTGAATTAGACTTGATAGTATAGCGTGGCTGTGTGACATTAATGTTTTGTTTAACAAATATAAACATTTCAAAAAATGTTACAGTTAAAACAACAATCAGTATGGAACATATTTGTTTTTATGGGTTTTTTCAACATCGTATACATCAGCCTTAAGGCTATACGGACAAATGTACGCCTCAAACATCAACTGTTTAGTAATGTAGGCGTAAATAGGAGGTACTTGTGAGCAAACCTTTTCAGTCGAGTGCGTATTATGAATTTGTATGTCCATTTATTATCATGATGCGTGGAGTAATTTGTGATATATTGAAAATGTCTGCATTTCATTAAAACAGGATAGGCTACTAAAGGAACAGATTGTTCAATTCCGGAACATCAACGTGTGTCTGTGAAAACATTTAATCATATCTTTGGTGCGTTTTTAACGTAATGCTGAGCTTTGCGAAAAAGTAAATAGCATTACATCCGTGAATGGTAGATACAGAGAGGTAAAAACGTTGAATACCTAAGAAGTAGACTAGAGGAAATTCAAACGATCTACTGAAGAGGAAAAACTATTTCAGATATGTTATTTTAAACCGATGTGGTCCATCCCGAATTTATGCTTGACAAGTAAGCCTTTGTTGGGGCGACAGATAAGGTGACACAAACCATGCTCGTATTTAAGCCCCAGGGCTATGTATTTCTTACGTACACACTATCTATGTATCTGAGGTTACCAATCCTTAACCCTAATCATATGTAATATAGTGTTATAAATGCCCACAGCTACCCAGGACACATCAAGCGGAATAGTTGATACAAGGTAAAAAGCCTGGATTCTAGCGTGATGCAGAATGCATAAAGTACAGTGTTAAAATGTTAAGAGATAGTGTTAAGAATTATTACCATTAAAGCACTGCACCGAGTACATTACGTTTTAATTTGGTCTTCTGTGGATCGTGATGTCCTCTAAAAATCTAGACAAGATATATCGACTTTTTTGCATTAATATCCTTTTCTGATAAAATCTCTTCTCCAGTGTTAATGTGTCACTGCATTTACTCTGCATTATAACGGCAGTACTTCCAGTTCAGTACTTCTGAATTATGTTACTCTAACTAGTTACCACGGCGAGCCTTCTCCCTGATGACTCCAAAGTTACCCGGCTTTTTTAAAAATCACATTAACTCGTCGTGTAGGTCTGTACTACATACGAAACTAAACCAGTCGACACTTTTCATTAATTGATGTTATCAGATAATATAGATTTGTATGCACGACTCCTAACATTCAAGGGAATGAGAATATGTTTGTAATCAGGCCGTGTAACGATTCTTCGCCATCTAAAGAAAATAGATAGTTACAATCTCGTATGTGTAATGGAATGAATTGTCTTTTTATAAAAATGTCTTTGATATAATCTGTAGTCTTATAGACGTTTAATCAAGAGTCTTCTATGCAGATATAATACTTGCCTAACTGCCATATTGCTCGTCCGTGATGTTTCTAAATAAAAGTACTTGTCTTTTTGGCGAGGTCGTATCTGAGACAGTCACCTACTCTTTATATTGTCAAGGATATCTTCTGTGTTCAATGACATTTTCTTTGTATTTCAAATGTGAAATTTGACATTTTCAGTCGATACAAAATGTATATGACTCGTCTTGTTTATGAGCCGTTAGTATGACTATAGATCTCGTTGTCCACGCAGACACCAGCATGGGTTATGGTAAGACCAACTGACACTATCGTGGGTGCTCGCGCAAAAAGATTGGACAACAGATACTTTTAAAGGTTATCCCTAATCGTCTTTGTTCTCAATGTAGCCGTGAGTTAGTGTATTGACTCACCTCTGGACAGACTAGATCTAAGGTGAGAGGAAGTGCTGAATCACTCAGTCAGTGTGACTGACGGCCGCACACTATTTCCCTATTATACGCAACTTTCAGGATAAATTTGAATATACAGGTAAGCCAAGCAGAAGATTTAAAATAAAGCACCTTATCTGAGAATCAAACATTACCTTCTACCTTTCATTTATCTCGCCAAAATAGATTTTTCCGTGTGATACGCTCTGTGATAAATACGCATGCGCTTTGAAGTATATAACTCTTATTATCCGAGTTCATCGCCAATAATTTATCACTCAAATACACGTTTGAAAACAAAACTGAATCTCACCTCTGTTGATTCCTTTTTCTTCCGTTCCAAGGTTCCTGATGAACCGTTTTGGTTGGTTGAAGGAACTGGCGTTTGCGGCGTGGGAACGCTAAAAAGTTCCTCGATCGCTTCAAAATCCATATTACTAACATATCCATTAAAACGACGTCCGGCTGTCGACCAGATATTTGGTTTCCCCGAAAGCACCTTGTTTGTTGGTATTTTCTGCCACTGTAGAGAACGCATTTTTGTTTTAGGTTTCGGTACGTTTTGCTGAGGTAGTTTAATGGTGACACCGTTGCGGGCATTAGGCCCCTTCATGTTGAAAGATGGTGGGGGAGGGGGAGCACCAGGGACCGCAGGCATCCCTGGCATTGGAGGCGGGGGTGGCGGTGCACCACCTATACCAGGTGGTGGAGGGGGAGGCGGTGGTGGTGCCCCTCCTGGTACCGGGGGAGGTGGTGGAGGTGGTGCAGGCGGGGGAGGTGCAGGCACAGTTTTTGGGGATTCATTACTGTCTGTCAAGCCAGGAAGAGCGATAGAACTAGAACTATTCCCTCGCCGTGGTGACGTCACACGTTCATGTGCTTTACAGTTAGGACATTGTAAGCCGTCCGTCGACCGTTCCCGTTGTCGCAACAGTTTTTGTGCGTCTGCCTCAGATTCCACAAGCGTAGCTCTACATACTAGTTTTTCTACGGTCTGCCAAATTATGTCACAGTTGGCATCGTTTGGGTCTATTTTTAGCATATGTTGTAAGCACGTGAGGAAGTGGATCTCCTGTGGAGTATCGTCCACCTGTAACAAAAAGCAATACTGTCAATTCACTTGAAAAATGACCAAAATTATTCTTTCCCGGAAAGTTAAAGAATTATTCTAAGCTTAAATATACTCCATGTACATTAAATAAATCATAGACCAATATATATTTAGGACGATCGTCAACTGTTTGATGGTAAATATGACTATGATTTTCCCGTACGCTGGCAATGGGTTTACGAAAGCACATTATATTTAGTTAAAATGATATCACTATGATATTACTTTCTATGAGACATTAAATTATATCCACGTGTCATTGAAATATTTAATTGAAAGTATTTCATGTAAACATTGTAAATAAAAACTCATCCATCATGATAATAATAAAAACGAGACAGAAAATATCAGAACAATTAAAATATGTATCAATAATGTTTGTGTTACAACAGACAGCCATCAAACGCTCCTAGCGATTAAATGGAATTGACATCTACACATATCTGATTGATGTGACACGGAAGACGACCAGCACTGTAACTGTTACCCTACCTTCACGCGCAGCGCTGTCATTGTAACAGGTTAACGTCCAAGTTTGACAGTTGGAAGTGTTGCCGCTCTGTCAACGTTACTGATTGCTAAATGACCATCGACAACAACACCTACATTCACTAGTCAGGAAGTAGGATTAACACGACTATGTAACCGGCCAACCTCCAAATCTATTTGCATTGACTAATTTCGTCCAAATAAAAGCTAGGTAATCAAAACACACCGTACAGCGTTAAGTCTTTGTTTCTTGTTTTCAAAGCAATCACTTTGCTGTTGTTTGGTCAATAATGTTATTGTATATTGGGGTTCTATAATGCGCCTGACGTAGTACACATGCTAGAAGAGTTTAGTGTCGTATTAAAGGTAGCTTAGAACTAAAGGCCATTACCTATACTAGTGTAATCGCTACTCAGCGCGAAGGACAGCTAGGACTTTCGCGTATAATAATATATGTAGGGATCGGTTCGTCAACAAAAACATCAAAAGTAAGTCTATCATCAAACACACGTCGTTATTAGTCCAATAAGACATAGTTATGGTCACTTTACAACTAGAACACACCGGGCATTCATACGTGAAGACCCCCTGGACACTCCAGGTAGAACAGGGATGATGCTGGTAGCTAAATTTAAGACAAAAGATTTGATGTCGAGTTCGTGTACAAGTAATGGCTTAAAGCCATATTACACAGTGTAACTAATACCTGGCTAGTATGTCCGGTGATTATTTCAAGTAAATTTGTTGCATTTCGAGCGGAAAAATCTAGATATTACAAACATGCTACATACTTATTCCTCAATCAAATTTACATCCGGAGTTATGTACCATAACGATTTTTTGTGAAATCCTGAATCTATATATGTACTTAAATGCCCTGTGAGCATAGCATCACCCACGGAAGATAACTTAACATGTAATATGCATGTAATGTGAGAGGTGCGTGTGAGTGGCATTGAAAAGAAATTAACCAACACACATTAAGATGGTGATTCCTGATGTGACAAACCCGAGATAATCAAGGTAAATCTACATGCACATCACGCACGCACGGGGGCATACATCGTTCAATTGGAGACATATCGCTTCTTTTGGTGTAACAACATGCTAACCGCAACATTGGATCCCGGTTTATAACTTATTTCTTTTCATCTTATCAGCTAATTTTCGGCTTTTCTACAGCGTTCTTACACACGAGATAGCAGCCTTGTTGTTTGTGTTTTTATTTGTTTTCTGTAAAGTATCTCTATCACCGTGTTATTTTACACAAGGAAGTAATTAAAATTATCCCAGCTTTACCTACACCGATATTCTCCATGAACTGAATTATTTCAAGCCTGAATTACATCACATAAGATAAAATCGTGATAATGTATTTGTCAACTGCACTAAACTTAAAACTATTCGGTGATTATTATTCCAAAGATAGTTATCACTATATAGTTGTCATGGTAACTTTATAGCCCACGCGCACTGCAGTTACGTATCGTAGGAATACTTGCTATACTAATTGCTATTGATTTCAACAAACCGTTGCTATTTAAATGTACATCAAAATATTTTCTAACATATACATAACGAGAGGGCGGACAGAAAAAATACGAAAATCCCAAAGCAATCAGGTGAACAACACAAAACAGATTACAAGATAAACAGAAAAAGCGTATTTTTCTATCCACCCTTTTCTTTTAAGTCAACATGAAAAATGACTTTACCCAGTGTTTACAGGACAATCGAGGGTAAATTTTCCTCAGAAATAGAATTAGATTTGCTTGGGTGCAGACATACTTACCGTTTTAAAAATTGTATGGAAGACATCGAGGGAGCAGTTTAGGTCCACACCCTTAGCGCCAGGAAGCTGTTCATCGTCATTAGCCTTGTGTTCTACGAAAACATCCAACTGTACGTTGACGTTTGGGTCAAGGTCTTCTTGTCGGCTGTAAAATACACAAAAAAGCGGTACATCAATATTTGATAGAAATAACATGCTATTGTGTCTTCAACTGATCCGTCATTAAACATAGTCATTAATTTAGATTTAAGCCTATTCAATCGAATTTAGTTTATTATATAGTGGGACAGATATAATGGCTGACGACTAAATTCTTGGTATTTGACAGACGATTCTCTATGTCGATCTGCAAATAACACCAACTGCAATTATATCGGCCCTCTAACCTTTAATCATATTATTAATAAAATGAAGTCCGGACCTAGTTTCAGTTATTTAATAAATAAACAAACAAACAAGCGACAACTGGAAATTTAAACTCTCATTTGTTTATCAAAGCGTTTCAACTTGGTATCCGAATCGGTTTTAGATCTATAGATAATTGGTCGTGAGTAGAGGTATACAACCGAAAAAAAATAAGGAATCCGGCTTAGTTTGTCAACAATGGTGTGGTTATACAACATACAATCAATGCTGTCTGGACTGGACTGTCTAGTCACTGTGGTCAGCAGGGGTGACCTTGGGATAATATGGCGTATTATAGGTTAATCAGGTAGGAAGAAAGAGGGCTCTATTTCGCAATACGTTTCGATCCCACGCCCCAGAACTAGAAATCACATCGTAAAATGATAGAACTGAATTTGATTTTTTTTTTGTATTTTATACACGTAATTGATTCCTGTACCAAGACCTAAAAATGAACAAAAATCATACCTAAATATTATATTTATAAGTTTTCTACATTCATTGAATAGTGATTTAACTCAATTTATATGACATATGATTCCGTAAATAAATATCGATCGTCATCACGACAGAACTTATACACAAAATAAATGGATTAGGAACGATGACGTACCTGAAAGAATTAGATATCGAATTAATTTCTAACTTGGTAGATCGGAGTAATTTATTACGATATGTCCGATCAGGGGAGTACTGTCTCGGAAAATCCGGATATTTATAAGATTGGGATACGCGCCTTGATGGCAAGCTGAGAGGATCATCATAACAACTGTAGTTAGAGTAGGTAAATATTATGATGTGTGTATCCTGATAACCGTATCCGTGTCCATTTAAATATCGTACTAATACAATCTTCCAGAGATATCGTATTTCAGTTTCTTTGTATTGAAATAAAAGACAGATTAGTTTTGAAAAGGTGAATTTGTTTTCTGCAGTTTCACCTATAGAAAGTTAATCGAGACCATGGTTGAAAAAGTCTGTTCGTATGTATATAACTGCTATGGATGAACAGGAGATGTTTGTCGGTATTGATGTTGTATTTGTAATTCAAATATTGATATAAATGGTTTCTTTCAGAGCCAGTTGAACTGGGTAAACTGTTTGTACTAAGTATCTTTCTTCTTTATTCACATTTTCTTCAATAAATATTACGATTGTCTTAATTCTAAATATATGTAAAAAAAATTCCTATTATGAAAAATATATATGAGACGCATTAATGTAATTTTTGCATGAACTCGTATGCTCTATGCTTCACACAGAACTTATAATTTATCAATTTCTAACAGCAGTGTGTAAGGAAAGCAACATTCAGATAAATAATTCAATGATTAAACGACGTTTCAGCGAGAAATCGCTTTTCGAGGTTAGATGACATCGCTGTTAATATTTCATGTGTTATTCACCCAGGACGGAGTGACAGTCTTGACGTAGCCGTGTCGAAAGAATGTTTATGACTAAGAATATAGCATGCTAATCATTACTTATAATACATTTTCATTACTGATAATCAATGTATATTATACATGCACAGCATATATAAAATCCTATGTCGGATTGCTTCGCCTATGTTAGAATATTGACATGTCTGTGTGTCAAATATTGAAACGTAGAACTATTTTCGGGCTAAGTAATTTCCTCGACAACTTTAAACTTTGATTGGTATATTCTAGAACATCAGAATCTAATTTGCATATGCAGATCGTTAGACAAATTAAAAACTCACAAAACAGTCGAACGGTTTAAGATCATGTGACATACACGTGACACCTTGCACTCATGCAAACTTGAATAAGGATCAACATTATGAACTGTCATTGCATACATATGAATGGTAGTTAGAAGCATGAAGTTACACTACCATAAATGTCAAATATTTAAATCTGTTCGAATATGAAACCATGTGATTGCATATGAAAAGCGCTACGTAGGTCAATTTACCTATTGAAAAAAAAATCGTAATTTATTTCTATTAGCTAAGCCTAGGATATACTCACGAAAATCTACAAAGAACACTTATCCATATAACGATGACTTTATCAAGTGCTAAGCGACTGAATTTACCCTATTTATATATAATTACACCCATATACTTACACAGTAGTCGACAAGGCGGGATTCGCACATCCAGCCGTGTGCTTTTTATGTTCTACCAGAATCATTGTCAAATCTTTGATATATCCCAGACATGCTCAGAGTTCAAAACTACAATGATTAATGTCTGTGCTACAAGTATGAGCCGTAATTTTTAAAGTCATAATTCAAGAAGCAAAGGGAAAGGGGATTATTGATCGTCAAAGAGGCCATTGTAGATCACATTTCATACAATTCAACAAACAGTGGTTATTTCATTTGTGAAAAGTTCAAAATCTGACTCACAAGGTGAGTTTTAAATTCCAGGCCAAACAATTTTTTTTTCTGGCTGTGGTTTTCAACTTACTTAAAGTCTTTCTTTATTTTTTTTTATAATTGAAAAATGCATGTATGATGTATGTATGTATGATTCACGTGCGAGTGCTCCCATCTACAAGTACAAAGAGTTACTTCACACCTTTTAAATAAATCCTTTTAGAACTGAATGTTTTTTAGATCTTGAATGCAGACCTAGTTCATATAGTACAGACGAGCTGCGCGACAGTCAACCTGCAGATTTAGGAACGATGTTGATGGCCTACTTAAAATTCAAGAATGCGTAAATGAAACCAAAGAATGTTGCTGTCACGATAAATGCTTTACAAGGTGATGTGCCGCGAGGAATTTAACAGGATAGCTTTAAGTTCATCCTTAAAACCCGAAAAAACCAACAACTTTTTTGTACTTTTATTGTTTTACAATTGTATACGTCATGTAACTGTTAATTCGTTTGATGGAATAGGGAGTTGATCAACATCTCCTTCCCAATCAGTATCCCTAAACACTATCACCAGTTCATAAATTTTCATAGCGTTTTCTGCTACGTATTTGATGTCCCTTGGGAAATAGCTTATGGAGGTAAAATAAAAAGTCGCGTGCTCCCTCAGGACATTTGGTTATGAATCACATACCAAACCTAACACCATTTGACATTTGTGTTTTCTCTTTGAGGTAGTTTTGATTAAAGGTCCATATATGTAAATCCTTTGAGTCGGAGGGTCCCAATGTCATGCAGTGATGAAGCATGAGTGGATTGAATCATGCGGTAATGATACTGCTGTCTGGTGATATCTCGCTATATTAACGTATTGATTTAATACTATTTTGTCATGTTAGCCTTATTTTGTTTGCCAAAGCCAAAGACATTTGAGAAATAAACATACCATATAAATCTCTCGCCTTGAATACGTTATGAACTGTAGCAGGAGTCTGTTAGGGTCTTTCAAGTTTACGACCAGAGCGAGGACATATGCCATTTTGACATTGAAGAGACAGAAACAAGCGAAAGAAAAATGGATTTCATACGACAAGATGTCCTTGAATCATAAAATCGATGCCTTCAATGTTGGTAAAACAACTTGACTTTTTTTTAAAAGATACTGAAACAATCCTCTGTATGTTAAGAGTCATTCGTAGCCAGCAGGATGTCGTAAATCGTTCCGACTTCTGACACTGCAACACCGGAAGTACACTCGTAACGGTGACAGGATGGCTACAGTATAATCTATCACGCATCCACTGTACTGTTTATGGCAACTTCAGTCACCCCGAAGTGACCATTGAGGGTGGGGCAATTGTCGTCGTCAAGTCCCCTTAAGACAAATATTTTGACCGGGCACTTAAACACTACAAGCCCCCCTACATGGAAAATGTGTTGACCATTTATGTGGCTGTGTTATCGGTTATTGCTAATCGACAAAGCGAATAACCCTTACCTGGAGATTATGTTCTCATACAAACATGACGGGGTCTGTATGCAACGAGAGTAAACTGAATAACTAGGCGACAGATGACTTACTGCTCTCGAAAGCGTAAAACAATATACACTATCATTTTCATGGGTTCATATCAAACAAAAGTTGTAGTTTTATCTACTCTCAAAGAATTTGCCGAATTCCTTAGTGGAATAATTCTATGACGCCTACGAAGACACAAGATGTAGCCACAGAAGTGTGCCAAAACTGCCACTGTCGTTTAGAATAAGGCTAATTTTGAAGTCTACTTTCACGAACACTTCATCTTCACCAGTTTGTCATATTAAGAAGAAGTCCTTTCAAACCTACATTTATTTTTTTTATCTTTTACCGCAGGTCGATATTACAATAGTTTTTTCCGGATTTGTTTCGGACACGACCGCTCTTTGTTTTGTACTTAAGATTCACCTCGTGATGGAACCTCCTGCTTTATCAGAAAGATTTGTCCGAAACCAAACAAAGATGGCGGGACATTAAGAACTTAATCCTTCCAAGCCCTCTTGTCTTTATACACCCCATATATCAATTACACATCCATGTTTTAGCGAATCCGAATGTTTAGGTATGGATAATCCAGTTCCGTGGGTTAATGTTTGTATTAAACTTACCGTTCGCTTCAAATATGTCAAATAGTTCTTTAACATCATGTTTGAAATGACTTTAAGTTTAGGACTGGTTTTAAAATATGTATTATAATATCATGGGTAAATTAAACCCGATTAGTTATAAAGTTATTATTTCCTTTTTATTTTAAGCGTCACAATATAATAGGAATGTTGAATATATCTTAGACATCAATGGTCATGGAGATGAAGGTCATTTGACTAGACAAGGTGACATTGAAAGAATTAAGTAACTAGGGACGGAATATTTTATACTGCGAAAGAAAAGAAACAAATGTGGAAACGAATTGATAAATTATTTCCTATCGATTTTTTGTCTGCTTTTCTTTATACACATGTAAGTTCTTTGTTTAATATTCTCAGAACATGATCACGTGGTATGTAAGTCAGATCGTCAAAAACCGTGAAATGTATGTTTAGTGCTGTCATGAGGCGCTGTTCCAGGACACGGGATGTGATATCATGACAATGAAATGAACATCGTGAATAATTATCAATGTATCATACGCTAATAGATAACTATGTGGCATGATGGATGATCTTGACATTGAGAACATGTCGTTCATATACTGACTGTGCAAGAAAGAATTAATTATAGAATAACAATGAAATATATGGGATATTGATCACGGAAACTCATTTTTCATTTAAGAAAAAAGTTCCGATCATCTCTACATGATGTTAAAAGCCCTATAGCCTACAATAACAGCGGTAATATCTTTAGAGAGATTCATAACACTGGTTGGAGGAGATGTGCACCAAGCAGAATTAATGTGACATGGGACACAACAGATGTCAACAACTTGATCTCAATTAAAATAAACGTTTGACAAAAAATCAAAATGAGAAATGAAAACGGAGTTTCGACGACCATTCAAAATGAAGTACATTTGCCCATGCTCATGAACATACATCTCAGCACAACTGACTGACACAGAGTGCGTTCTACCGGGAAATAGGTGGACTATTATATGTATTTAAAGTCCCAAGACTCAGTGTTGTATAAAACTAGGTATATTACTCATTAACTTACCGTAACTGATTGATGACTTCCTGCAATTTTAGACCTGGGAACGAAAGCAAAGAAAGTAAGATTAGAAACACCATTATAATGTATATTATGTGTGTAATCAACACGAACAAAAAGATTAGAGATGGCAAAAAATATCTTAAGTGTGAAAAACGATGAGACCACACAGTCTCTTCATACGAGTATAGTGATCAGACTTATATCGAGTACCTATTAATTCATTCATACGAGGAATGCAAATCATAAATCGGCATGTGTTTTGGATCGTAACCAAAAATGTTTTCAATTTTTTGTGTCAATGCTTTAAGCTTGCAGTCACACCTATGACGTTAACACACAATGCCTAGCTAACACGAAAACAAGGCTAACATTTCTTGATACAGTGTGGTTAGATGTAAAACAATATCGGTGAAACCAAAATCCTTTTGGAGGAGTGGAGGTCATACAGTCATATCGAAAGAATTTGTTGCGTAATTACCAAAAGTTATCAAAACTGAACATATTTACAAATTCAAAGTAAATAACATTCCATACAGAAAGTAACGTGGACATTTCATCGACTACAAATATTAGTGAACAAGCACTAGATGTGTACCAGCTACGTCATTCAGAATGGTTGCAGGAAACTGCATCTATAAAATAGTACTTGAAAAATTACAAGGAAACGAAATGAATATTTTTTTCTCCTAAGTAAATTTGGGAAATACATAAAAAAAAAAAAAAAAATAACGGAGAAAAACTAATTTAAGATTCCGTTTGCATGACGTATTTTCTTTGTTGATTTTTTCAACAATACGTATTGTCTTTATTGACAAAGAAGATGGGGAAAAGAAGTCAAGTTATTATGAAACGTCAAACATGATTGACAAGAAACGAATATCTTAGTGTCTGGTAAAAGTTTGATGATAAGGAATGTCTAATGAAGGAGTTAGATCTGGGTGCTGCATGTATTTAAATATTCTATATAGGGAAGAGTTAACTTGTGATATTGTTAAACTATTCTTAATTGCAGTGTCGAAATATTTAGCAAGTGATATTGTCGTGGTTTTAGATTTTGGTGATACTATAAAAGGTTTCGAAGTATCAATAGAGTAACGTTGGGAGCTCGCAAATCAGTACATCAGTCTTAAACACCCCTTCTCCCACTTGTTAGCGCCACACATGGGCATATATAGACACTCGAACTTTTGAAATATTGAATGCGACACATTAAGAAAGTACAAGTATACATTTTAACAAACATCTGTACTAGGTCATTCGCATTATCATCAGACACAGTAATCGTCGTGCCCATAAACAATCTGTCGATGTAACAAAAATATCTGATAGAACTATGACAGAGTGATTATCTAAACCACAATCCGGATAACCAGCTGCAGGTATTTTGTGCCTAAGAAGGAACTATTAGGGCGGCCACACGCTCTACTTACGTCAAAATCACACCTGTCATCACGTTATTTTCTGTTTGTATGTAATATTTCTATGAAAAACATATATGAATAAAAACTATTCAAATTTTTAAGAAATTGTTTATTTTTACAATTTATGAATTCTGTTAAAAAAAAGACTCATCAGTAATGGCAGATTTTCCCATGATATTGAGGTTTTTTTTTCTCTCACGTGACATTTAACGTTTTTCTGTGGTTTAAAGGTTCTGTGTAGGGTTGTCATATCGGTAATAAAACCGTGTTTTGTAATGCGTACAAACGTTTCAACTGGATATGTAACAACTTGCCTGTATGAAGTGATTTTCATTTCATGTAAGATATGACTATTTAATTTGAATAAAAAAGGGCGTCTACTCGGAAGACTCATAATTTTGAAATGGATGAATGTACTTTACTTTCAGTTCTACATGCTGCAGTTATACAGTTGTATACCTACAACTGATACTAGTCACAAAAACATTTTGATGAAATTTCCATATTTATTTCTTTTCATTTCGAAATTTGTTTCAACTCGTTTCATCAATGAATATATTAGCATATAGAATATTAAGAACCTATCTAAAAACAAGATTCAATATGTTGCAAGAAGAAGAGTTGCGGTTAACAACTTAAGTTTCTAGATAAGGACCGTGATAGTAGTATATTATTGTAAAGTGCGACACTCTTGTAAAGGTTGCCTCTGGCCGTCTGTAATATGTTTAACATAGCAATATTGTAACATCCGACAAGTTCCTGCACGCTTATCGCTTTGATACTGATAGAAAGTAGACTAGATATTTTTACACTGGTATGCTTCCCGATCGGACCGGAAACATTATTTGTAACTCAGAGAGCACCGTGCTGAAATTAACATTACTGTCCTAATGTTGCAACTGAGAGTGTACCGTGCTGATATTAAGCTTAGGAACGAACAAGACACATGTGGTGCGGTGTAGGTTTAATATGAACGGTATTTATTCAGCAATTGTCCAGTTTGTGGTCACTGTACTACTGACCACAAGCATAATGCTTGCTCATGGTCCTATTGTGTATATAAGGCCGTAAAATCTTTCGCTGATTCACTGGCCGAGAAGTACATCAAATTTGTTTAAAAGGAGGTCTTCAAATCTAAAGTAGGCAAGACGTGTTACGTATAGGCATTTTATTATGACCTTGGTTCTACTTTCCGTGCTCCCATTAAACTAAAATTAGGTTATAGTCTTGACGTCCTTCCCGTACAGCCTGTGTACATAATTCTTTGTGGGAGATGATACATGTGTCCGGGGGCGAGGAAATGAAAATATCACTGAAAATCCTACCTACTTTTACGGGATTAAATGGAATTTAAATTCAAATATATAGAAAAATCCCATCCCATCATTCCTTCAATTTCAGTAGCTCCTTCTTATTGAAAAGATGGATTAACCTGTTTAGCCAATAGCATGTACGAAACATTTTGCATTTTTATTCAGAAAAGAGATTAAAATGGATGCTTTGTATCGCCTGTCCTTTATAGCCCCGAGTAATCGCGTCTCGATAGTTTAACACTCTGATTTTGTATCACACTCCCAAGTTTATTTAAAGTCTTTCGTTCAACATAATTCACACATTAGCAAATGTGGGATTTCACCTTACTATTGATAAAACTTCAGTAACTTTACTAAATCAAAACAAACTTTGATTTTATATGTTTTGATTTCACAAAAAATTTAGAAATAATTTATTTTGTTGTATCCTGTGTTGTGTTTAGGATTAACACATTTGAATTGGATTGGCTTCAAGATAATGGATCAACTTAGATCTCAGGGAAATACTGAATACAAATAATAAGCCCAGTGCATACACACACCAGTATCATATATACCTATAAGTTAATAACCTATATGAACTATGTTGAAAGTTATCTATTATGAAATAGCCTAAAAATACAAGATAACACTAGAAAATAATATCAACTTACAAAATAAGAGAATTAAAAAATATCACAATGTAAGCATGCAGACGTATAGAACACTTTGCTGCATTGTTGTTATCAACTGGAAACAGCAAAATGATAATTGTAACAGATGAAAGAACAGCTGGACATTGAACAATAAACAAGAGCAATCAAAGGGATATCGAAATTGACGAATAGACATGAGACTGAAACCATGAGAATCTCTAAATATTTACAACGCCATCTTAAGTCTAGATAAAGCACTTGTGGAAGGTAAGTTATAAATTATCTTCCTTTTACACGCTAGCACACCAGGAATATGAGGTTAGAGGGAACGTTCAAGTATTGTTTATTCTTTGATTTGGTCTGAATACTTACCAAAGAATTCATTTCGAATGCGTATTCGGTCCTCTATCTTTTGGGTGTATATTATGATACAGTTGATAAACTCCAAAAGAATCGTCTTATACTCAACACTCTCTGTCGACTTCAGTTCGTCAAGGAGCATAGAGAAACGGTATTTCTGCTTTTTCGCTACCTGGAAGACACAACATAAAAATAATCAATGATAATTCTAGAACTTCATTAATTAATTCGTTTAATTTAATTAAGTATCATTTGATTGATAATAAAAGCCAATCACATAGTCGTCTCGTCTTATTCTTAAGGATTTCCCCCCTAATTTTAAAGTACAATACCTTTTGAAAATTAAGAGTGCAATGATTGTTGTATGTTTTTACCTGAAACAAATTATTGGAGACAAACAAGAGGACGTTATGTGAGTTTAGGTTACAGAATACAGGGTGTATTGTAGGTTGTAAACTGTCTGGGCCTAAATAAGATCATTGTGTAATCAGGCGAACACAGAAGTACATGTTCCTCCGAAAAATTCTAATTTTATCCCGAGTAAAATACTTACTACAGTTCTAAATAGGCGTTTTCTTTCCTTCAATTTCATGCTTTCTAGTTTCTACTATTGTAGATTTGTTCTCATAAGATTCTGTATTGTTTTACATCACTATCGGACCAGGCTAACGTCTGACTCATTGGCACCTGTCGTTTGTGTTTGCGAACAATGATATTTTACAGAAAGAATAGCACAGCACACACTTAAAGGTAGAGTGTAAACGATCATACAGTATTGATTGAATAATTCAAAGTCATTGTACAAATTCTTAAAGATGCTAGATTCAGTAAAAGTGTTGAAAACAGATTAAAAAGCAACACCAAAATATGTTTATGTGTATTATATAGATATGGGGTGAGGAAGATGGAATTGGAATGTTTTTAATGTTTTTTTGTTGTTAGCAATCCATAAGACACGACTTATTTCAGTTGACAGGATCCTTGTTCGTTTCATTTTTAAAACATTGATCACGTACCAGTAATGATTATATAAAAAAGATGCATATTATATACTGACGTACGAGTTTATCGCATGTCGAAGATCAGAATATTGTATACTTATGCCTTTTAGAGCATATTGGCTGTCATATATTCTATACAATTGAATGAGAAATAAACCGGATCGGTTTACATAATAAAAAACAGATCATCTGTTGCTTAAAAGGACAAACAATATGTAACCAAATGCATGTCAAGATCTACAGCGATGTTGGCGAGTTTCCACTCTGCGAGTGAGGCTGACCTCTGTAACGGTTCCAGGTTCCAGCCATGCAACTCTGGTCGCCAGTATCAGATGTCCTCTGTCTGGGACTAACAGTGACTTTATTGTTCATAAACAATACATTCGTCAATTTTAGACAGTGGCGCACAACTGCCGGTAAAACATTCGAAATTTGGAGATCAACGTTCGCTTGACCGGCCGGTGTATTGTCTTACAATATTTAATTAAGTGACCTAAATATCAGAATGGTATTCATAAAAACCACTCAGAATGGATACGTTAATATCTGTTCCGAACCTGATACGTTAGTCTGTTTAATTAAATTATTCCTCCTGGCATTGTAACAGAGATAAGTCGGAGATTCATTGTAACCCATCGTTCGATATATTTACTCTAGACGTATTATCCATATATCACTGACTGACAAATATTTATCCTATTTATGAATGTAATTTATCATACACGTTTGATAGTCTTTTGACAACTTGACCAATACATATACAAATGTAAATAGAAGATAAGGAACTGAAGGAATCAGATCACATGTAATTCTATACTCAACTACTAGACACTATTATAAAGTTTCAATGAACAAGATTTATTGAAGAATTATCTTTATTACACAAACAACAAAAAACTTTGACCGCTGTATCCCTTAGATCACTTAAGCATCCGTCAAAGTATAAATATTATTTCCATCGGTTTTTATTTTCTGTATTTATAAAAAAAAAGTAACTTTTAGCTTATGGTTGAGAAACTGGACATAACGCTTAAGACGGCATGTTTATTACCTTATACTTAATACCCTCAGTTAATCAGTAACTATTAATTGCTTATGGATATTAGTGTATTTCAACTGTCTGATTTTGAAAAAAATTACGTTACGATATTTGGTAACATTTTAATTCAATTTCAAAGATTCAAAGACTATATATAGAAATTCAGTATATATATATATATATTTATACCGGTAAACTTCCTCGTCGCCTTAAATGTTTTAATGTCCCTTTCAAGATTATAAATTAACTAGGTTCAAATCTCCGATATAGAAGTCCTATATGTTTCCGGTAAGAAACAGGAACATTACAGAGTTTCCTCGTGTCCGTCATGTTTTGTGTGTGACTTTGTAAAACAGCAATAGTAATTAGAAATACAGTACTGTGGACAATCATCATTTTAAAAACACTAGTCACCAAACTTTTCAAATTAGAATAATTGTTTTTATGTCGGTTCGTACTGATGTTTACATGTATAATAACAGAATACCAGAACAGAAGAACGTAAGAACAGGTTCTGCCTGTTCTCAAATAACCAGGCATTTGACAAACAACCTTAAATTAAAGCTGCAAGTCATGTTGAATCATTATCATATGATTTTGCGAAATTTCCAAAAACTTTCATTCCAAAACCAGTTATACAACATGATAATTGACTAGATCGCCTTAGAACGACCATTTAAATAGACCTCAAACTTTGTAATATAATCACCAAGGTTATGTTGGGCATGTGTGGAGGGTGCAACGAGTTCCTTAAATAAGGATATGATACACTTTATACATATTTTCGTTTCAAGTGCACCAATTTTCTCTATTGAGAGCACTATTGGTTAGTTCGTTAGAACCAATGGATTTAAATCCTGTAGTGATCTTTTTTTTCCTTTGCAATAGAAGAGAGGGCGTGTGCTTTTTTTTTATAATCTACGTTCTGTGACTATTACTCCATATTTACATGATTTCTAACCCAGTAATTGTGTCTTCAATACCAAAAGACCATAAACATAGTGGAGGATCACTTCCACAAATAGGCAGTTGAAATCCGAGACAGTCAAACGAGAGATCCTGAGTTTTCCCAGGTATTTTATAAGCCTCTCGTAAATTATCATGACATGGCAATACTTCTGAAAAGATTTCAAATCAATGACGTCATCTTGGAATACCTAAATCACATTTAAAAGTGTCCTAGAGACCAAACTGTGTGAACATAAATTATCAGTATATCACTAAAAATCACAAATTGTTAATCTTAATGACGTGATGTATTAATTAATTTAGTTTCAAATTGAATTAAAAAAATTTTTTATTGATATATGTGTATGTACAATCTTCCTGAAAAAAATGGACGAAATTTAAGAAACCGTGTTCCAGACAATTGGGGAGGAATGTGGAAAATTTATGGAAATTTTAGTAAAGGAAGTTCTACAAAAAATCGTGATAACAGACAAAACTGAATAGCTTTTCAAATATTGAAGAGAGATTAGGATCAATCAATTACATAAGTTTGATCTAAAAACAGCCAATAAAAGAAAATGAAGTGCTTAAAATACCGCATTTCGTTATCGATACGTTTATTGAAATCGCTAATGAAACGAAATGTAACAACTCTCCCACACGAAAAGACCTTGTAAATTATCATTGGATGTCATCTTCCATGTCATCTCTGGTTTCCTTTAAAGTCCTTAGATATGTTAATAAAAACACTGATGTCGTTCCCGATATATATTACTACAATAATCAGAAAAAAAATCTGTTTTTGTCAGAAAAATATAGGAGTGGCAAGATTTCATTAATTACCTGTGTAGACTAGTACCAACTGGCTCCGAGTTGTTCTGTGTAGGTTTGTTACATTACTCGACACAAATAGGAAATTTTTAATGACATATCAAAGTAACGTTTTTATTCTGATTGTAACTGAAAACACTATATAATATCCTTCAGGAGGATAGGCAGAAGTAGCCAATGTTAGGCTCCGACTCGCTCCCGTAGCATTGATATTTAAAGTCCATGTTTAGCATGACATACTACATGTTATAAAGTTCGAATGACCCGCGACATACATCAATACGCGTCCACAGAATAGCATCTTACACCAAACCACAATTAAAGTGTTTATTTCCCGAGCATGGCGTCATCTGAAAGGTCAATGGCTACATTTATTGTTTAGGGGAAAGATGAAATAAAGAGCACTCGTCATCATTTAGAGAAAAGGTGTGGTGTAAGTCCATTTACCAGCTTTCACATCTTTCAATTTTAAAAGAGGAAAGCAGAAACTGAGAGATTACGTCTTTTGTTGCAGACGTCCAGACTCTAGTGTATAGAAGTGAGGGCAGTGAAGACAAAAAGGGTTTCAGATAAAATGTTCTTAATCGAACGGAAGAAAGTTTAGAAGACTTGCATAACATTCGGGAAACCCTAGGTCCATAATCTAATTTGTTTAAAAATTGATTTCGATGTCAACCAGCACATGTTACGGTTGGTATTTCCAGCGATTATTGGTTTACAATGCCAGGCGAAAACAGGAACAGTTTACAACACGTCACGATAATTTGTTTTCTATGCTACCTTGGGACTTCCTTGTCTCTCACAGCCTCTTCAAGCTGACTAATACAGAATTCCCTTCCTAAACACATTACTTGTTTATTTCCTGTATATCATATGATGCAATGACTTCCTGTCAAAGGGGTTACGAATGTACAAGGTCTCTCGGAATCGGTTCAGAACAACAACGGCCACACGATTTAAGCGTGACGTCATACCCAGTAATATACCGAAGTTTATATCACTTCGCGGACTTCGCGCACTTTAACTACCTTCCAAGTAAAGGGTCAGGTTTTCATAGTTCTCTCGATAAAATGTAGAATTCATTTACAATGAATTCAGTAAAAATGCATTTAGAAATAAATATTGTAGATTTCTTTTGTCGCTCCTAATGACTTTGCAACGACGTCTGGTGAAAAAAATGCAAATTTTCAAAAACATATTTATAACATTTATATGTTACTACGCTTCGGTATTGGTTTACTATATTTAAAATACATTGATACTTTATTCCCAACACGTCACTACATCGTAGACGACATGACGACGGGAAAGGGTGTTGTAATCTTTCAAGCAAGTTAGGGTGTCTGTCAAATT